GGCTTCTTCAGACTGCCATGTTTTAACTGCGACGGCCGGAGGCGAGATTTTAGACGGGATAGGAGGCTGAATGACAATGGCAAGTCCAAGTAAAACTGTACAAGCAGGCAAAACGCGAACAGGGAGAAGCAGCAGGTGGAAGAGATGCTGGAAAAGTTGGATTTAGCTGATAAAGAAAAGGTGAAGCTGGTGATTGATGATGAAGTCAATGAGTACGAGGAGCAACTCTGCGCATTGGTAGCCAAAGTATTATACCATAAAATTCTGCATGTTAACACAATTGCAGAGGCTCTACACCCTGCTTTGGGCAACCCAAAAGGTATGAACTTTAGATTAATATGTGACAATGTTTTTTTTGCGGGGGTATATGTGACAATGTTTGTGTGGCAAGTTTTGAAAACAAGAGGGACAGAGATCGGATCTAGGATGGCGGTCCATGGTCTTTTGGAAAGCATTGTGTATCTTTGGAGATCTTCAACATTCGCTACCGATCGTGAGAGTTGAAATTCAATCGCCTGAAAATTTGGGCTTGTTTTTTTTGAAAAGGAGATCAAACCTCCGGTCTCTGCATCAATCGATGCATACAACCATCTTTATTAATTATTTCACAAAGGTCTGGTAAGAAAATACATCAAGCCACCCGAAGCCATCACTCACGCCTACAAACTCGATAATGTGGAGTGCTCTCATCCCCCACATCTAAAACCGATGTCATCGCCGGTCCGTCCAGATAACGTATTGGGACCAACAGCCGGTGCAGCAGACCTAAAACGCGCACCACATGCACACGTTTTAGAAGCCAGAAGCCACCATCATCCTCGGACCGCTGATCCATCTTCAGGATAGAGATCCGCATCATCCTTGCCATTCTAGACATCCGTCGACGCCACCACGGTGCCCAACGGGGCACCGCCCTACGCCCAATCATCCATACGCGAAGACTTAGAAAGATCTATCGTGCGTAGCACCTGCCGACCAGACATGACACAATGTAGCACATGTCGGTCAGGCATGACTTGACATCTCCACCGAAACTCTGTGCAAGACTTAGCCGCTCCACCTGCTGCCTCTGTCTTCCAGCGCTGCTCCACAAACGATACTCCCAAGAGAGTAACAATGTCGTAGTACCGCCATCGTTCGATCTGGATGACCAGATCTTAGGGTTTCCTCTGAAGCAGCATGAGTGGGTCGACAGAAGTTACACGACGATGCCTTCATCAAGATAACGACGCAAAAACGTCGCCATCGGCTCAGTTTTCACCGGCAACTCTGTCTCCCCAACTCGCAATCGGGACTAGACGCCGGATCTGGAGATCCGACCACCCAGCCTCAGGCCGACCATCTCCGGCGGAGGAGGTGGCCACCACTGCCACGCCCAGGGCCGCAGCCCCCAACATTCTCGAGTTGCGGGTCAATCCCATGGACAACAAGCCATTGATAGAACGGTACACGAGGTTGCGGCCCGCCGAAGCCTATCTGGGCCCAGATCGAGTGCCGCGCTGGACCTGCCACCGTACGCTGCCGCCTGCCTGGCCGCCGCCGCTCCGCACACTCTGCCGTAGATCTGGCCATCACGGGCCGCCGTCGTTCTGACCGAAGCGCGGGTTGAGGAGAAACGTCGCCGCCACCACTGCAGCACGCAGGGTTTGCT